GCAAAACATTTAGTTTCTTGTTTTTTAACAGGTTTTATACATTTCTCTTGAACAATTGTTGTTGACTTATAACTATTTCTTTTCATTTTCATGGATGAATTCATAAACATACAACGAGTTTAGTGCTTTTTTGTTCCTCTTTTATTGAATATAGAGTCATCTTCGCATGCATAAAACTCAAAAGACCATAAACAAGAGGACTTTAGCATCACATCATAGCTCAATATAATCTCCTGCAAATAGTGATCCCATCTCCAAGTGCAGCGTGCGAGATCTGCACACGCTGATCAGCCGAGAGTTTCTTGTTCAGGTCGAGGGTTGCCTTCTTGCCTTCTATCCTCCACTCAGGCGTGGAGGAGTCCGGTTCAGCAACTGACCCTCCCCAAAGAGTGTTGTCATACACTATAATCCCACCAACCTTGATGAGTCTCATAAGCCTCTCATGGTAGTTCCAATAATTCACCTTGTCTGCATCCACAAATGCAAAATCGAATCCACCCTCGTTCGCTTTCTGCATCAGAAACATCCAAACACAAAGATGACCATCTCCTGATAGAGGCAAAGAAAGAAGTATGATGAAGCTATACATACATTGTTTAAAAGCTCATCGAGAAGTGGAAGAGCTTCAGATACTCTGAAATCAATTTTGTGTTCAACACCAGCTTTCTTTATAACTGGCAATCCTACTTCATACGATTCTCTGTTCATATCAATGGCGATAACCTACAGGGCTCGTGTATCAAATCAGTTGCAGAAACGTTACAGAAGCTGAAACAAGGGAAAAGCCAGTGTCTTTCACATACCTTTCCGTCTTCGGGTATGGTAAGAGCAGTAAGGAGAAGAGAGTATCCAGTGAAAACTCCAACCTCAATTGTCCTTTTTGCATTTACAAGATTCAGCAGTATTCCAATTAACTGACCAGCATCCGGTGCAGTAGCCATCATAGCTCTAGGGTGGTTAAGAGTAATGTTCCTAAGCTCCTTGAGAGGTTCTGGCTCACGAGGGTACACGCTGGTCTCCAGTATATACTGCAACATTTTTCAGAGAGATGTAAACTCAGTCAGATAGAGAAAATGTAAAAAGAAGACATATATAGAGATGAATGAGTAAGAGGACACACTCTATAGAGCTCTTCACTTTGCAGCAATCCCTTGGAAAAATCTGATGCCTTGGCTTCATCCTTAGCCATTGTAATCAAAAGTATTCTTCCCAACACAAACTCAAGTATCTGCTCAAGGTACAAAGCATAATCAAAATAACCAAATTAAGACCTTAACCAGAAAATAAGGTTTACTATGGTGAAATTTACAAAAAAAATTCTGAAATTGACGATCTTTCTAGTTTTCAAGGAAAACCCACAAGGAGAAATAAAACATAAGCACAAGGGTATTGTTCATATACAGCAAAACTAGTCGAAGAATTCAATACAAAAGACCAAGCCGAACAGTTCGTAGATCATAATACAGAGGTTTACTATGGTCAAACACTCATACAAACATTGCAGAGAGAAGACTTACGACCGTCCAGAGAGAGAATTTAGTACCTGAGGACTGAACTGAAGTCTCCGTCTACGATCGTCCTCGAGTGATGCTTGTACAAGGATTCGGCTTTGCTTTTTATACAAATAACAAAGAAAGCGTTGAAACCGAACAGAGTCGTATTATAACAAAACAATTGCCAGCCAATGAGATTTTCTTCCTTTGCTATAAAACAATTGCCAGCCAAAATGGGATTATCTTCCTTTTATTTATGTGCTACTTAAGGTAATGCGTGCATAATGTGGTTTTTAAAGCGAGTATCTAGTTTTAAAAATATTAATATTTTAGTATAATTTTGTTATTTAATTAAATTTTAGTGTTTATAAAATAATTATTATAGTGTTTATAAAATAATTATCCAATAATAGAGAGACACTTATTATGATAATCTCTCAAAAGTATCTCAAATTAGAGACTAATTTCCCTATCTCTCATAATTTTTTTCTATTTTTTTTATTTGTATTTATTTTATTATTGAATAAAATACTCATTAGATCTCTATCAATGGAGGTGCGCTATATAAACGCGCTTCGCGAAAGAGACATCTTACCAAACAGAAAGCATCTACATGGAAATCCATGTAGAAATCCATGCATAAGGTTTTAGTATAGTTTAAGTCTAATAGATCCATTACCAAATAGTACTATCTAGTATCTCCATTGACTATCTCATCACTAAAATATTAATATTTTTGATGTTATTTAGTTTTAAAAATTCATGTTAAATTTTCATTAAATAGTTCTATTTGTTT